TCAATGTTGTAGTATTTCATATTAAATGATTGTTCTGGCCTTAGCCATGTTTCTGATATTAAAGCTACATGAATATTTTGTTCAAATAAAAATTGTGATAGGGCAAGCCTATTGCAACCTAGGCTCTGGGCATTCCAATGAACTATATTTAAGGTATTAACCATTATTGAGTTAAGGTAGCTTTTTTGCTTAAAGTTTTATTAAATACATCTCGAATAAAACTGGAGTTAATAGGCACATTTTGGTCCTTATTAGTAATAATAATATTTGTGACAATTTCAGTTATCATATTCATAAATTTGTCTGATTTCACTAAGTTTTGAAGTTGGGTATCTATGTTTTTTGCGTGTAATTGTGGAAATGCTTGCTCCCTTAAAACATCTGAATATTTTACAGAGTGAGCCTTGATTTTATTTTCTTCGATTTTTTGTTTTTTAATGGGGCAATTATTTGAAATGGCGATATGATTCCCACTACAATTGACACACTTAGCGTTATCAGATTTAACGTTGCAAGCTTTGTAGTTGTGGTTACCAGTGCATATAGAACAGATTTCGGCATTCTTACAAAATTTGGCTATATGTCCATATTTCAAGCAGCGTAGACACTGCTTAACAGGAGGAATGAACTGACTGACCTCGTGACGCCAAGAATCTAAGTATACAAATTCTGGAAGTTGAGTGGAGGCAAATGTAACAGCTACGGTCTGCGTAGGAAGAAACCGCACCGAGCCATCATCACCTCGTACACGTCGCATAAATCGCCTCACTTGAATGACATTTCGGGAGCTGCCTATTAACGAAAAAATTTTTTTATTAGATAAGTCAGTAGGAACAGATCTTAACACCCCTGTAACTTCTGTATCGGCTGCTGGAATTGCAGCGTTAAAGTTTAGTTCGTCTAGTAATTTTTTATTTTGTAAAAAAACATTTGCGTTGTTGGATACATCAAATGTGATACCAATTTTGAATTTATTTATTGCTTTTAGGTGTAGGACACCCGAGACGCAATTTTTCCTTAGAGCATTAGATAATGCAAGTCGGTCTTTATCATTGAAGTTAAGTCCATCTTTTCGGGACAAGAAAACAATAAATTCAGATTTTTTTGAATCTTCCAAATATTTCCGGCTATATCCGGGGACTTTGAAGATATCATATTTTTTTCCTATAATATCATCATCTTCTGTATCGGACGAAGACGACAATGAAGACGATGAAACGTTTTTATCATCAGGAGGATTTTCCGGTTTACGACGTTTTTTCGCCTTCCCCATATTTATAATATGTACAACTCTCTATTTGTACAAATAGGCTAGTATTTACACACTATATTACAAAAATATACAAAATAAAAATTCGCAAATAAGAAAAGGCGCCTAAACGTATTCAAGGTTCCCGCACGAATCCTTTGTTATTACTTGGTAACCTTCTTCTTTTTTAATTCATGGCCTATTTGCGTTTACAAAATTTCGCCAATGTCACGTTTGTGGTCTTTACACGTAAAGAAACAATAATAGAATATGTCAATTTTGAATTTAAATAAAATAAAAAAGCTCTGAGGGCGTCTATCTGATTACATTGTCTAAGATAATGCAAACATAATGTTATAGAAAACAAAGATATTTATAAATTAAGACTATTATTGATTTCAAGGAATTTAGATAAAATTTTAACTTGATAACCTGTTTCACAAATTAGTAATCAAATTTTCTTCTTCTTTTTTAATTCATGGCTTATTTGCGTTTCCACAATTCCGCCATGTCACGTTTGTGGTCTTTACACGTAAAGAAATAATAATAAAATGTCAATTTTGAATTTAAATAAAATAAAAAAAAAACAAATATCAATCAGTTTTGTTATTCCTATTAAGAATGACAACTAAAGCATCATTTTGTAAGAGATTTGTAAGCAACCGTCACTGTTAAATGAATCACGACAAAGTAACATGGTGGTATGGGCTATGCTCTTTGCTTCTTATTTAAGAGAAAAAAAAAAGAAAATCTATGGTCAGTGGTAGGGATGTACTTGTAAAATAAATATCGATTATATCTTATATTATACCACTGCGAAGATTTTGTGAAAATAAACTTTAAGTAATTTAAATAAACACGTATTTTTTATTTTGATATGTTCTAATACTAAAAAATAAAGTTATCGCTTATCAAAGATCGAGATTTTAAAACTTCATTTATGGACACCGCGCGCCGTGCGTCAGCTGAGCGCTCGCTCGACGCCGCCGTAGGCATGTACTCGTAGGTACCTATCTACACGGGTCACTGAACGCTCATTTTGTTAGATTCGAACTAGATTTTATGCCATGATCTGAGGTGTTTTCTAAGAGTAATTCCAATTTTCCCTTCATACTTTTATGGTTAAGGCCATCAAAATGCAAAAAAATAAAAGAGAAACAAATTCGTTACCTAGAAAAAAATATTAACGTTATGCCGAAGTTACATAGGTACTTCTGCGTTAAGGCGTATTTAAAAAAATTAGAATCAACTACGTATTTACAATAATGTTGAATCAAAACAAATACCTAACTAATTACTTACCATGTATTTTAATATTTGTTCAAAATGAAGTCCACGTCTGTCCAGACATAAACGTGCACATTTCATTAAATTGTCATTTAATTTGTTTAAAACACTAGTGTCACTTTTCACTTCACTGAAAGCGTTATTATTTTTTATTGTTGTCTTCTAGACTTTGTGCCTCCTCTACATCTCGGCGTTTGACTTCTTCCCATAAGAAACAGTCCCTCACTTGTGAACAATGCCTCATCCGTCTACAAGATGTTTACATCGCGGTGATGTAGAAGCCACTCACATAAGGCTCGACGTGGTATTGGGTCTAGGTCATGGAACTGCTGAACCGGCTGAAAGTGGTACGGATGGAGTCCGGCTGTTTTTAGCAGCTTCAATACCGCAGGCTGGCTCACACCAAAGAGATATGCCGCATCGTGGGTACTGACTCTGGGACTTCGTCTGTTAAAATGGTTCGAAGCATTAGGGACCGCGGGGTTATGGATCCCAAAGGCCCGCATACGAGGTATGCTCTTCGTCGCATACTTTCTCCGAATTGCGCTTATGTAGGTTCTCACCACTCAAAAGATAAACTCGTACATCTCGTAAAACTCACGACGGCGGGCGCGTCGCGTGCGCGGGAACGCGAGGACACGTCACATCGGCGCGTGCGTATGAGTCTCACTGTCGCGCGCGTCGCTCGGTCCCGGCGGGGCGGTGGGGGCTGTGGCGGGGGGCTACCGGGCGCGGCGGGGTTGCACGGTGGCATACGCAAGAGAAGACGTTTTCATTGAAGTTTTATTTTAAAAAATGTGTCCATATTCTACCGTTTCGATAGGGATAAAAATATTTAAAAAAAATTTTTTTAACTAATTATGGAAAAGTGTTCTATTACTGATACTGAACCACCAAAAAAAATTTTTGCACTGGAAAAAAAATATTCCTGTATATATATATTAAATATATATTTATTAAATATATATATATATTTAATTAGTTAATCGAATTGCTAAAAAAATATATTTAATAATTTTTGATTTTTTAATCATCAAGTTTGTTAAAAATAGACCAAAATAAACACTATTTAAGTTTTTCCACATGAATAATGATAACGCTTTTAAAAATAGGAATCCAAATTTCTCAGCATATTGGAATTCTTGCAATTTAAGGCCAAATATAAGATTCAGGCAATCTGGCAGAAATGTTAACTAACCGTAGCTGTGAAGTCATTTGATTAGGCGTAAAATCTTCACTGCGATCACAAACTTAAAGAAGTGCTGCGACTTGAATTGTAGTATTCAGATTGTTGTGTACAATTTTTATAAGACATATAAGTTTAACAGACTTGTTTTTTTATTTAAATTTAATCATTTAGTAATTGATAATGTCACAATACCTTCTGTGCTGTTTCACTGACTCTATTTGCTAAATTCTAAGAAATATTTTTGCCTTTTTTTCATTATTACCATAGATTTATCCTAACCAAGAAAAAATGTCAGCCCTGTGGTTTAAAATATTCAATATTGAAATATTTTGATCTGTAAAACAATTGGAATTGCTATATCGGTATACTAGGTAACCGTGTCCGTATTTGATAGTCTATTCCATTGGTCCACGAATTACCAAAATTTAGTTTTCAACAGTCTTCGGACCTTATGTTCGAGTACTTTTTTCTCGCGACTTCGCTGGTGTAAATTATAACCAATGTCACCCACGTACTATATAGTTTCTTATAGGTGAAAGAATTTTAAAATCAGTTCAATAGTTTTAATTCTTATTCAATTCAAACAAACAATAAAATTTTCCTCATAAAATATAGAATAGATATGACAAAGATATAACTTTGCTATCGCAAGATAGATTTTACTGTTATGAAACTAACGGTCATATTGCTAGACTCGAGCGTTCATAATATTGCGTTGTAGGATATAATATTCGCTTCATTTCTATTGCACCACGAACCTTGGCTTGCATTAGAAAGAGAAGAATATCTCATAACGATCCGAGATATATCAGATTTTGTATCGCTTGTGTTTGGTTTATATTTAGTTGTGAGAATAGCAATTTGTCAATATGAATCGATTTGTCTAATGATTGATTTGTTTTTCACATCCCTAGACAGTGGTATTTTCTACTAAGTCTGTGGGTATTTTCCAAAGTGAATTTAAAAAATACTAAACAATTATAGCGTTCGTGTTTTTTTTTTGTAATTAATATAAATTTAATGGAACTTCAACATTCTTCTGGTTATGTTTAGCACAAGTAATAACTTAGCTGACAATGAAGTGATGGTTTGGTTTTCAGAAAAGTTCTTTTAATAGAAAGTTAGCTGAAGTGTAATGTCTTGTCATGTCTACCAGCAAAATGATTGATAGCATTGCATAAAATGTTTCACGTTTTCCAACATCTATACCTTTATGTTGATACTTTGTTCTAATAAATAAATACTATATTAATTTATATAACTACGATCTCAATAATGGACGACACAACGGTCAGTGTTTCATTAACTCATTAATTCTTTTTCATTCGATTTGTTTACTGTGTTTATTTGGATATTTAGTGTTTACTTCTTTTTGGGCAGGTACCCCTTCATTTGGAACCAATGCAACAGAATGAGGTTTGCGACAAGAGGCTATGGATTGGAAACTTGGACTCTAGAGTTAATGAGTATGGTTATTTGTGATTTTTATAAAAAATATTAACACTTTTAATTTATTTTATGTATATGAATTATTTTAAATGATAATTTTTTTTATTTTAGAGACTTGCTTTGAAATAATTTTATGGAATCCTGATAGCTTTCTTTGAGATTTACCTTTATAATTTCATATACAGTAGAAGCAATCTTTATTGTTAGCTTTGAAATAAGGATTTTTAAAATTTTTAGTAATTATCTTTTTTTCCAGTTTTTAAAGGTCTTTAATTTCAGATTCATAATTAAGTAACTATAGCGTTCATAATATAGCTTTTTTAAAGTGTTTTGTGAATGGTTCAACAAAGCAAAAATTATAAGGCTTTGTAAAAGCCACCCTGATTACAGAAATTTGGTTACAAATTTTTCTCCCGTGAATAATGAATCTGTGAATAAGGACCTTTTACTATACATATACTGTATAATGCTGATAGAATACATTTTAATGAGTTCCATTTTTTATTACCGGTATCAACTATTGAAACTGGTCCGTGTATATGGGAACATTGAAAAGTTTGACATGCTGTTTCATCGGAGTGGGCCTAATGCCGGACAACCAAGGGGATTTGCATTTGTTACATATAAGCTAAGACAAGATGCAGTATTGGCGATGAATTCATTGAACGGACAATTGTTGGGTACTAAGAAGATCTGTGTCAAATTTGCCAAGACAGCATCAGTAAGACTTAGAAAATAATTTTATCACTTTATTAACCTAATGTTAGTCTGATTTATGACAAATACTACTTATTTTGTGCCATGAAAATTAATCTATAAAAATTTGGCACACTATCATTATATCTGATCAATTTTGCAATCACAATGCTATACTGAAAATATTCTTAATGAACTCTGAGATGGGCTCGAACCCATGACCTATCGCCATAACCGGATTGCGAAAGTTCATGGGTTCAAGTCCCATCTCAGAGTGCCAGGGACAAAGTGGATTTTATAAACATTTTTGATCAAGCGTATTTGGCACACTATCAGTCAATTGCATAAACAACCATTAAATTTGTCATAAGTTTAAAGCGACATTACCCATACAAATTTGACCTTCATTAGAGCTTAAAGGCGTTATCAAATCTTAATGGTTGTTTGTGCAACTGACCATATGTTATAGAAACATTAAAAAGACAATATATAAATCTAGTTAATTTTCTTTTCAGGAAGATGTAGATAAATCAAAACCAGAATTAGGCATTGCAGCTTTGGCAGGTGCAAAACCAGAGTTAAAGCTAAGCAAAAAAACTGCTATTCAGTCTATAGAGGCGAAACTTAAAATGATGGAGAATATGAAACCTGGTGATGATTTTGTAGTGAACAAGTTGGCTGCAAACGAGACCCCTGTCATCACACAGTATCAAACGAAGCAACATCAACTTCCAAACAAATCTATTAGCTCCTTTAGAAGAAGACACCCTTATCACAAAAAAAGATAAGAGTTGTAAAGAATCTCATTTTATTATTTAAGATTTAAATGGTCATAATTTATTATGCTTTTGAACTTAATCCAAAACAATAATTTACGGGTATGTTCCGATGTATACTGCAAGCACTGCGCAGTGGTCTTACTGCTGAAAAATCCGTTCCGTTATGGACTGCCAGTACACTGCTACACTACCGTAGGGAAATTTATGACGTCATGAATTGCCGCCATATTTGTACTGTGAGCACTGGAGATTTCGATGTGCAGTGCTCGCAGTGCTTTTGACTACGTGATCAGTCGAAACAGATATAATAAAGTGCTTACGTTTATTAGGGGTATGTTCCGATATACACTGCGAGCACTGCGCAGTGGTCTTACTGCTGAAAAATCCGTTCCGTTATGGACTGCCAGTACACTGCTACAGTACCCTAGGGAAATTCATGACGTCATAAATTGCCGCCATATTTGTACTGTGAGCACTGGAGATTTCGAGGTAAGGTGCTCGCAGTGCTTTTGATCACGTGATCAGTCGAAACAGAATCAGAAAATGATAAGTTTCTAAATAAACAAAAAAAAATACTTACGTTTATTATAAGATGGATAAATAATTTTTTTATACAATTTTCCAATTTTATAATATTTTCTTTTGAAAAGAGGGAATCTTTATATTTATATTCACCTTGCATTAACAAATTTGAAAATGGCGCCAAAAAATAGGATTAACAGTATACTGGACTGCGTTCCGTTTTAAAAAGTCACCAGTATAACTAGCTATAAAGGAACGGGCTTCCAGTATACTAAATTGACGTCATACTGTTCAGTGGTCGCAGTGTATATCGGAACATACCCTATAAGATGGATTTGATTGATAAATATTTTTTTTATACAATTTTCTAATTTTATAATATTTTCTTTTGAAAAGAGGGAATCTTTATATTTATATTCACCTTGCATTAACAAATTTGAAAATGGCGCCAAAAATAGGATTAACAGTATACTCGACTGCGTTCCGTTTTAAAAAGTCACCAGTATAACTAGCTATAAAGGAACGGGCTTCCAGTATACTAAATTGACGTCATACTGTTCAGTGGTCGCAGTGTATATCGGAACATACCCTACATTTTTTATATGAATGGTAGTATTATTAACTCTAGTATCATGAATAAATATCCGTTTGCTTGTTCAGTATTGAAGTCTCATATAGAAACTCTCATGGCTGAGACCAGAATACATTTTTGTAAACTATTGGGATCCAATGATTGGATTTTGTAAATGCAATTATTATTTCGCAGGCTTCAAGCCTGAGGGGCGTATGTGCAAATACGAGTACCTATTTTTTTATAATGCAACTTTTTTAAATTTAACAATACCTATCTTTTTTTAAATAATCGACAAATAACTTAATAAGTGAAACACAACAGAGTGTTTGTTGAACAAAATCTTCTCACAATTTGAAAACATTTTTGCGTCTCAGGGTTACTTTCTACGACACCGGGAAAACCAAATAACTGTCTTGGGACTGTCATGTTTTGACTCTTCCAGTCCCAGATTCTTAAAACAGTTTGCTTTGTTTATGCTTTGTTACGAACTTTAGTTAATATAGGCCAATTTAAAAATGTTAACATTAAATAAAACTAACTTTGTACAATGACTTTATAAGTATTAGAGCAACAAGTGTGACTTTAATTTGAATGTTGTTTATATTAGAACGTCAATTCGAGATGCTTTTTGTCCACTTTGAATTTGTACATATATTACAGAAATAAAAGTTTTTTAAGTATTTTCAATACTTTTATTAATAAAAACACTGAATAAATTATGTATTTATTAATATAATTTAATGGACTTGGGTTGTCCTTAAACAAAGGATTTATTTGTTAAAAGGTCTGCGTTAGTAGTATTCACGCGTATCATTGATACGGCAGTAGCTACGCTCCTGGAGCCACATAATATGATACCACTAAACTAAAAAGAACTGTTAAATTATGCTTTACTTTGAAGATATTTTTCTCATACACATAGATGGTAATTTCACAAGGAATTAATTTTCAGGATTTATGAAAGACGTGATCTACACCTAGTTGCAAAAACATTCATTTAAAATTTTCAGTTTTAATTTATTATTATAAACTAATAAATCTATGGTATGGCCACATACCAATTTTCAAATTTAGAACATTGATCAGAGCATAAAGTCGTCATTTAACCGTAATAGTCGTTTGTACAACTGTAGATTTATATTTAAAAAAAATAAAGTACCCAAAAATACACTCTATTTGTAAATTTTTTCAAATAAATCCTTTGTTAGATCAACCATATACATTGTATTTGTAGTTGTTAAAAAAACATACTGCATTATTAATCATGAGTGTGTGAAATGGAGACCAATTTTCATAAACAAAAATGAAATCAGGCTTAAAACAAATTAATTTGTAAAAGCAATACATATAAAGCTGCATGTATGTTCAGTTGCACATCAGTTTTCACAAATCAGCTACAAAATATTGTCTAAATGCATTTTAACTGCAGATATTTTTATGTACTTAGGTACAAGTCCCATCTATACTAATATTATAAAGCTGAAGAGTTTGTTTGTTTGAACGCGCTAATCTCAGGAACTACTGGTTCGAATTGAAAAATTCTTTTTGTGTTGAATAGACCATTTATCGAGGAAGGCTTTAGGCTATATAACATAACGCTGCAACTATTAGGAGTGAAGAAATAATGAAAAACGCGGACGAAGTCGCTGGCGGCCACTAGTGAGTTTATAAAACTAGTATGAAAACTCACAAAGTGGTCCCACATTTAACACACACATAATAATATGGCAGAGAACATAAATCATACGACTAATTAACATCTTATAAAAATATGAGTACACATGGTATATAATAATTATTATATTTTAACAAGCCAGAACTAGGTTTACATTATAATAGTCTCACTCGTTCGGAACCCAGGATTTATACTGTTGGATAAGGAATTTGCTAATTTCCTATTAGGAGTCGCTATCATCAAGTAGTCGTCGTCTTCTTCGAGTTTTCTCGTCATACTAGAATATTGAGACTCGTTATCACCTTTTAAGAAATCTTTGTATTCTATGCACAATGGCCATATCACTTTGCCTGACCTGAAAAAAAAGAAAAATAATATATATTCTAACCCGTCTGAAGTATTTATCTTTTACATGACAGATTAATTGCAAAATAAAAGCATAAAAAGTGGAAATTAAATCAGTTAATTATAATAATTTAGTGGGGTGAGTACGAAAAGTGTCATCTTTGTTTTTCTAAAAAGATATTGAATGTCTTGATAGATAAACGCTTAAAAAACCACCGGTTAACCCGAGATGGGATTCTAACCCATAATTTATCGCAATCTGGGCGACTGTTTTATTCATTGAGCTATCAGAGCCCAACAGGACAGACGAATTTCTCAAGCACTTATTAGTTTTGCTTTATATCTCATCAAGGTGTCATCATCTCTGAGATAACGAATTCGATTTTTGGCAGGGGTGAAATAGTCTTGGTTTTTATAATACTTCCTTAACACAAGAGCTTTAGTTACTAAACTTAGGGTCTATGTCAGCGTTTCCCAATCTGTGGTTCGCGGACCACTACGGACCTTCAGACATATGCATAAAATCAGCCAACCCTTTCATTCTTGTTTTTATGTGAATGGAACCACATTATTTCTATTATTTAAAGAAAGATTTTGAAAATTACTTTTGTAGAACTTTATATACAGTTAACCTCACTTCAGGTTATACAAATATCAAATTACTTAATTTGATTTTAAACCTTAATACATTGAGGGTAGAGTTGGTGAAAATCAATTGCGAAAATGTCACATTTTGTGGTAACCTAACGTAACCTGTTAGTACTATCTGTAGCTCCCGAGGGTTCTGCGGCGTAAAGTTTGGGAACCCCTGGTGTGATACGTTAAATATTTATTTATTTACGTTTACGTTACTTACATGGGTAAAGTGTATGGGTCGTATGGGAACCATTCGTCGTATTGTTCCGCGTCCTTTGCTTGTAGCGTATGTCGAGCGTTCTTCTCTATGATGGCTTGACAGTATACCACCTGGTGGGCGCGAGTCACTGACGAGAACGCGTGAGTCACTTGGGGTGGACAAGTACGCAGCGGGTTCAAGGAACAAGTCACTAGCCGGGGTAAGTTAAGTGACTCCACGAAGTGAAGATCTGGACAAAAATATATATAACTCATTATGATTGAGTATTATGAAATAGGGTACATTTGTCACGCGACTATTTCCATATCGATTTATTGATCGGTTTGTAATTTTCTTAGCCGTACAACGAGAAAATATATTAAAAAACCCTGGTTGGCTGTATCATTGATACAGCCATATTTTATGCGTGGATACGTCTATGTATGAATGGATATATGAGTAATTGATAAAAAAATAAATAAACAAATTGAAGACACTAAACACTAAATAAATAAATATTCGTTGCGTTCATTTGTTGAATGAAAAAAGTATTCACTAGCGCCAACAGATGGCGTTAGTGCATATACTCCTGCTAACAGAATGCCCCTCCCCCTGCAGAGCAAGCATAGTTCACTTATTCGCCAATAGATGGCGTTAGTGCATATACTCCTGCTCACAGAATGACCCCCCTGTAGAACGAAAAGATAGACGTATCCACGTCAAAAAAATAGTTCCCAAAATTAAACTAGATGTCACTACTGAACTTTCTTGATTTATCCATGACAACCCTTTTTCTTTCAGGTATAAAAGTAAATTAGTTTTCAAAACTCAATAAAAACAACTCGTATTCTATTTGTACTTTTTCGTATTTGTATTGATATCTAAGTTTCGGACTTTGCAAACTTGTTTTTTTAATAATGTTAGTTAAAAGGAAGGGAAATTACTATGTAATGACTACTTTGGTTCATTCGTTTCCTGCAAAAATCAACTTTTGCTAGAGTCGCCATCTATTGGAGGTGCTTTTTTAGTGTTTTCTTTTTTTAATACTTCCTCACTGATATCAATTCCATAGTGCAGCGCTGCGATTCTGTAAAAATCCGAACCCAAATTCGAATTCACTCAGGTGGCTGATTTCACTACGAAAGTGACATCCGCTTATTCTTGAATCAGTATTAACGTGTCGTGGCATAAGTGAAGTGAGTTCCGAAATAACTTAAGAATAGAATATGTGAGAGATGTGTAACCGTTTTGTATTTATATACAAAACGAGATTGATTGTATTTGGACTTACTATAACAAGTATTTGGACACATGAAGTGAATTATAATTCGGGTTAGGACTTTTATACAATCGCAGTAGTCAATAAATATAGCAACGCCGCACTCTTGTGCCGTTAGATTTAAAATTATGTAAATATGCTAACTATGATTATATTCAAATTCTGTGGGTACGGTTTAAAAATTCATTCACAAGATTGGATAAACAAAAAGTTGAATAAAACCCCATAAACAGGGAGGTATCACTAGAAATATAGTTGTAACATAAACGATCTTGTACAGTACTATAAAGAAACAATCAAATGGTTATGCAATATGCATAATGTGAAATTATCATATAATCACTTTCATATATAATTATCATATATACACTTACTTTCTTTATTCATAAACAAATGATGATTTTTGAAGGCAACCAAGTAGAATATCGCATGGCAGATAGCGTGGAACGCCCCATGCACTTTAGTGTTGTCACTCGCTGTAGTTGACTCCTGCGTGGCAGTTATATATGAATGGCACCATTCTGCCATATTTTTCAAATATAAAATCAGTCTAGAATTGGGCACTCGTACACATCGAGCAAGGAGACCCGCTAAATGACTCGCTGCCGTTTTTCTGGTCGCTAGAGCTCCAGGGCCGATGCCGTGAAGACCGGCAGCGACCATCCATAAATTTTTGAGGATACGATCGGCACATTGTTGACTAATGGATATAGTGTAGAGGAGTAAAAATTGGACATGTCTGGAAAGAAAATGAAGATTTTAGATTGCTTGCAATATTATTTTATTAATCATACAACAACACTATATTAAATATGCTGTTTTGTGTTATATTCAAATTAATTTTATGTCACGGTTATGTCGCGGTTTTAAGGTACTTTATTTAGCAAACCCTTTGATTTTCAAGGAAGTGACAAAAATATTTGGATCACTAGACATAATAAATAATTATTAGGCATCATCACATACATTGCTCATATCCCAATTTAAGTAGCTAAAGCACTTATATAAGTGAAATGAAGCTATGAAAACCCATTTTATGTTTACTCAAACTTAAATGCAAATATTTAACACTTAAATGCATCATGGTGTAAATTGTAACTTTTCCGTAATCTTTATTAATTTTACTACTCATTACAAATTTTTAAATAAATATAAAAATATCATAAATTTAAAGGTTAAGAGAATCCAAATAATAACATACTGTATTCCATATGTTGGCAATATAACCCTGTCGAATACATTGCACATAATGTTTAGGGCCGGGTCCCTCTCCTCTTCCAACCACTTTAATATTTCCAGCATACATTTGTCTAAAGAATCTGTGACTATATTTTGCTCTTCTACATCCATTTCAAACACGGCATCAGGCTGTGTTTTATTTTTTGAAAGATCGACAATATTAACATCCATAATTACCATTCTGAAAGGCAATAAATATTATATTATTTTGGAAGTTTATGGGTGATACTGAAAACCAAATACATAGTACACAAAATGAAAGAAAAATCATTAGTAGGAACTGTATGTAGTAATGTTAATTGTTGTTAATTGCTGCAATATTTATTAAATATTGCGATTCATAATTCATTTTCAGTCCTATGAAAAATAACATTAGCAGTTATCGAGGTGGCGAGACAGTGTCAAGTTTTTTCACATTATAGTAGCAAGTCGTGAATGCAGATTTTGTAGATTGTATACTCCATTCATTATAACTTTAGAAAAAAGATGGTCATAGAAGCAGCAGTGCAGAACATTTTATTTTCAAGATTAATTTAAAAAATTATATTAGAGTTTTGTTGAAACTTTGAACGTTAGGTAGTCTGAAAGAGCTGGGCAATTTTCAATCTTTTACTTTACGTCAGGGTTGAGATGAGGCCAGCATTTTCTTAATTCATCTTTTACTCCCAAGCTAACATGGAACTAAAACTATCTATCTGTTGTTTTGATAAATTCTAACTAGTGTAATTAGTTAGACTATTGAAGAAGACTTTGGAAAAACTTCCTGAAATTTGACATTTCACGAAGTTTTTCCAATGTCTTCTTGATGTCAATGTTGAGTGTAGGTATGGGGGCTTAGAGCGTAATTGTTGTAGGCCACTCGGGCCTGCACCGGCATCGTCCATATTTAACAAAACTTAACAACAAAAACAAAACAATGACAACTTAATCACGGAAAACGGCAAAACAACAAGAAAGGCATTCACAATCCCAGATTACGTATTTTAACAATTATGAATAAATCATAGTCTGACAAAATTAAAAAGCTGTACTGCCGAAACGTTTAAAGGGGTTAGGCAACGTTTTAAAATTGTGGTATAGTGACATGAGAATCGTGCCGAAACTATCCAACCCTGCTTCTTTAAGTGCTTTAAGATGAACACTTTTTATTGTAATAGTTATTAAATCATTTAAGTTAGTCATATATTCATAAATTTGTCTAATAGATAGCTTAAACGACAACAGTTGAGTATAGCAGCTGGTATTTAAGTGGATATATAGCAAATTAGCCGTCAGTCTTAAGAGTAACATGATTATTGATATTTTGTCACAAAGTGTACCATAAAAAGAACCTGATTTAACTTCTGTCTAATGTTATAATGAATGGAGTATAGTTGATTAGCAATCATTTCTTTTAGAACTGATTTCGTAACTATTATATTCAATCAATTTTGCATTCTCAATGCTATACTGAAAACACTCTGACTTTTGTCCCCGACACTCTGTGTAACAGCAAAGTGGATTTTTTAAGTAATTTTCATTAAAAAAAACTTAGTAACTGTTTATTTATAGTAATTGTAATTTCTGTTTTTAATTAGTTTTTACTTTTAAATTAAAAAAGGCATATTTTTAATGAGATTGCACACTGTTCACGATGGAACTTAGGATCAAATACTTTATATATAAAAACATTGTAAGAATTCTAATGTCGCATTTCATTTACTTCAAAGGTGAAAAGAAAATTCGTTAGGTCTTTCTCCTTTGGCTCTGATACATATGATATGTTTATGATCACCAGTGAGATATATTTATTACCTGCTTATGATAACTGTTATGATTTGTTCACGCAGTAATGGTATGTATTTGCTCATCCAGATTAAATTGTACACATAAGCTCTATTGATGTAGACTCCTGCTTTGTAATATGGAAATTGATTGACTACAGTTTGCATCAACAAATCACTGCTCCTGAAATAAATAAAAAATATATTTTAAGTTACTTTTATTTACAAGATGATATAAACCACCAAGAAGTACTATGTTTTAGATGTGTATGTTTATGTGTACCCACGGCTGTATTAGCCAGCCATAACATATCAAATATCTGCAATGGAATTTGACCTCTACCCTCAATGTATTTAAAATTGAGTGGGGTAACGAGTGGTGACGTATCGTGAGACACATTACTTTCACTCAACAGACCACGACGACTGCTCTGCCAATATTGTAGTGACTAAGAAGATAGCTTGATGTGCTGTTAACTGTACAGTCGACATGACAGATATTGAAGAAAGACCAAATTTTTCCAATAGAATTGAAAGGCAAAAGAGAAAACAAGGCAGAATCAACGTGCCCATCAATGAGGTTGATTTATTCAATTACTTGCAAACTATTAAAATCTTTTAAAGCGACTCAGATATTCATTAATTTCCTCTATGATAAAAGAGTGTTTATGAGAAGAAAATGCTATAAATTAGAGGTTATGGTAATGTCTTGGCAACATTTTACTATTAAGAAATTTTATACATTCATGTTGTGGCCCTTTCAGAGCCAATTTAATGTAAATTATGCATTTTCAATCAGAGCTTATTTTATTATTCCTGGAATGAATTTTCTTTTGAGTAAAAGATTCATTTAGTAAACAGTTCACTTAGACTGAAAGTCTTATGTAACGTTCAAGAGCCATTTTTTTTGTCTTTATATAAATATGGTAGTCCCAAACTACACATTTTAATAATGTTGTTGAGGAACTCCTTTCTTATTTTGTCTAAATGTTTATCTGTGTCTGTACAAGTCAAACATTTTTGGGTTAATTACCAGTTGTGTTCTTCACTCAGTAGTGACAAACACAACACAGTGGAGACACCAACTAGAGTTAGAAAAAGAACTCACTGTTAGAAATCTTAAAGTATTTCATTATTCAATGAGTTACTTTTTTAATACAAGGTGAACTCGAATGTGTCTTACCCAAATATCCTTGAATTGCTTTTGATGAATTCAAAAACAATTAATTATAATCTATTATAGGAAGTAGATTATTTGTAGTTGTTTGGTAGACCCCATAGTTCTCAATAACTTCCTTACAATTTCATTTCACCATTATCTCCTTCTAAAAGTGAAAGGAACAGTTCTAGCATTCCATGCTATGAGTACACATAATTTATCACAAATGTGTACTTAGCATACAATGCAGGTTTAGAACTGATCATTTTCGCATTAATTATCCCAAAAAGAATTATTAACAAATCCATTTAATATCCAGAATAGTTGTTTTTTATATTTTCACTCACACTGCTCATTAAATTTAAGTTTTTTTTTTAATATCTTTATCATGTGTATTTTTGATAAATATTACATGTTGCCAATATTTCAGACCATGCACAGCTTATGTGAGTATTCAGGAATGTGCACATAAATACAAACTTTCTAATATTTGATTAATTTAATTTTCACAATGTTATATGTACTAAAAAAATTTTTAATGAAAAATTATTATAAATCCATGTTGTCCCTGGCACTCTGAGATGGGACTCGAACCCATGACCTTTCGCAGTACAGGTGACTGCTCTAACTACTGAACTACCTGCAACTTAACAGGACTGACAAATTTTTCAAGCAGTAGTGAAAAAGATTTTCACTACACTGACAAAGTAGTGAAAATCTTGTAACTTTTTCACTACTACCGTGAATATTTTCATCAATGTTTAGGCAATCCATTTAAATAGCAGAAAAAAAAATTTTTTACTTATTTTCACAGATATTGAAATTTTCAATTAAGATGAAAAGTTCTAATTATTATTATAGTTCTAATTATTATATTTTATCAATTTAATATTCACAATGGTATACTGAAAAATATTCTTAACAACGCCCTGAGATCCACCCCATCCCATCTCATTTTATTTTTAAGCATTTTTCAAGAAGAATATTATTTCTTAATTTAAAAAAAAATTATGATGAAATTGCTTAAGAATAATAATACACTATGACTTACATTGGCATGATTGCAAGTACTTGCGCAATTATTGTGTGTATATTAGACCACTTTGATAGGGTCTCAGGAGTCGGACAATCTTCCCAGTTTTCACCTTCAACTAGAAATAGAAATTAAAAATTAGATAAGCGGTCTAGTATTTCTAAATGAATTAAATAAATGAAAATTTTTTGTGATCAAAAATACAAATTAATTTGTAATAACAAACCTTTAAAATGTTTCATAAGGCATGTCATGACTGTAGGACAGTGGTAGTTGTGGGCAGTTACTAAATTTAACACAAATCTGCTGAACAGTTCCACCAGCTCCTCACTCCGATTCATCCATTCTACACTGCACACTAGCTCAATAAACTGTTTAAATTCTCTACCCAATAACACTACACATGACAGACTGTCCTCAAAAAGAATCCTGTAATTGTCGTCATTTAAGGGAAAGTCTTGTAAAACTTTTAAAAGTTCACTGTATGGGCCTAGATTTTTGTCATTAATGTAACTTAACAGTATTTGCTCTACTTGATTAGTTTTGAATCTGAATTTTACACGAGCAACTGCTGCTTTTCTTTCTAAAGTTTTACGCATCAATGATGCTACTGACTTTTGTGCTGCGACTGCCATTTTCCTTCTTTCTAATAAATGGCTAAGATGCGTATTCCGCTAAATTGTTCCAAGTAAGGATTTATTTCTTCAAGTCCGATGAAACTGACTTGAGGTATTCTACTATTTCTGGTTGACGTAATAATTCAGCTTTCTTGTGATTCAAAACCTCTCTCAAAATGTTACTACTGTCTTCGAATGGCGGTAAGCTAGCTCCTTGATCAAAATCAAAACTTGTGCTAGGCTTATTATAGGTAGCTGTAGATGCTAAGCTTTCTGTATTTTTTTTATCTTTCAGATAAGATTGAAGTCTCTCTAAAACAGCTTTAGAATCACTTTCTTTTCTTTCACCACTATAACCTTCTTTGGACATTGCACTTTGTTTTTATTTTCACATGGTCGTAGTTTTCTTGAACAAATAAAAATTATTATATTGAGATTAAACAGACTTTAAATAAACAATAATTTTAGCACTCTTTTATAAATACAAAATTTGTTTTTATAATAGAACACGTGCGCCGACACAATTCATTCATGTATATTTGACACAGACTTAGTAGGATATTTGACTAGGGATGCAACAATATATCGAACTAGTGATGAGCCCCTCACTTTCGAGGTGCCTCGTTTGAGTTCCTCATTTCGACAAAATGAGGGAGTACTCGTTTTTCAATTTTGAACGACCTCATTAAGCTCCTCACTTTTTGAGTGAGGGCTAAATAGCGAGTTGTTTCGAATGAAACGATACTTACTCAATATATTCAAGATTGAAGGAATGGGTTAAGTTTTATGAGTTTTTTGGAACGGTAGGTTTGTTTATGTGTTTCTTCGGAAATACGTATTTAATATTTTATAGATAAATTATATTAATTAGTCTAAGTAAAAATTAAAGTTAATAAAAATTTATCGGTTTTATTTAGTAATATATTTATATGATTCGAAATATAAATGATTGATCGATTTTAAAAATTTAACATTTGACACTATTGCAAATAAGTTGCGTATTGTGGTCATTCTGTTAAATAATAATCTAATAAAGTTTATTTCTTAGAATCTAAAGACAAAATATGTTTTGTTTAGCATTATAGACTCCCTCCCTCATTTTGTACCAAACGGCAATGTTGCGCGCGCCTCACTACGTACTCATTCACTGCTACTATAACATTACCTATCCTCACCTCAAATGAGGGGTAACTCGCGAGGGAAAATGAGGTACTCACTCATCCTCATTAAAAAAGAGTGAGTAACACAACGCTATATCGAACAACAGATATCGAATGAAATTCTAAGAGTAAATGTGTATCACTTATACTTTATATCCAACGCCATCTTCACATGTGAAATTACATTAGTAACGTGTGACATTATTATGTAATCCTACCGTTTTGAACTACTGAACACCTTTCTATAAAAGCAACATAGAACGATAAGGTCGAGGAATACTTTGTTTACACCAAACGTCACGTTTCTGGGATCGAGAGTGAGTGTACCGGACATTTAGGTGTAAACAAAATGTTCTAGAGTTCGTCATGCTATGAATATAATTGGCCGTCACCAATAATTGGCCGTTTTTTTTATATATATAAGATTAAACGTGTTTTACTTACATAAGGTTTTCACAAACAACATTTTTTAATTTACGTAAGATCCAAAAATATATTCATTAGTATTGACATATCAACCTTGCGAAGTGATATATTGATATCTCTTGATCAAACTGAATATATCGACTTTTTTATGAAACTTGCATCTTCTTCTTATTTTTTTTTTGTCTTATCTGCGCATTTCGCTCAATTCTGCCAATGTCGAGTGAATAAATTAATATCTACATGTAAAATGAAATGAATCCACTTTAATGGTGTGCGGGATCGATTATCCGAAACTTACATCTCTAAATTTGTCTGACGATTGACAAATTTCGAGAGCAGTGTTGCCACTTAGCTAAAATGATGAAAAATGCTTAAAGATGAAATTAAACTTGTCTCTACTATTAGAATACTTATCAAAAAAGCTTATTATAAGGTATCCGATTATATAACAGATAAGACTGCTTAGACTTAATATGATCCAGCAACTGGATAGGTGATTTCGTCTAAACTCATTATATATCAAAAATTATCTTGTTTCCATTATTATTAAATGATTATGTTATCATTATAAGACCATAGTCTTTTTCTCTCTCTCTATTTATAATATAATCTGGTAATGACATGGTTTTTGGGAATGTCATTACTCCTATTAGAGCTGGTGTGTTTCTTGCTCGTTCTTCTTATGGACGAAAAATGTTGGTCGATTCAAAAGTACTTTTAAGAAGTCTATTAGAATAAAGATTATTTTTACTTTGACTTTGATTTTCAGCACATGTTTCATAATGGCACGAAAACTTCAATATCTTTGACTGAACCATGGATGTAGTAATAATATAACAGGACTCAAGACTGTGAAAAGTTATCATTATGAAAATAAACTTTAACAGTATCAATTAAAGTATACTTTTCATTGTTCTTTCTAAGGACGCAACAAGATTCCAGTAGAAGTATTAAGCTCTACGACTCGAACAATGCTATCATAACCTGGGTAGTGTTTTGTCACACGAGCCTTTCGCCATTGTAACGGAGGTATATGAGATTCCGCTCAAACTAAATCCCCGATTTGTAAATTACGATCAGATGGCCAAGTGTTTCGACTAAACACTACTCGGCTCGCCCTCTAGTGCACGCCAGCTTTACGATCAATGACTTTGGTCTGTGACATTTCTTTGTACGAATCTTTCTTCGCTTTTTTTGGCGGGAATTTCGAGTGAAAGGGCGCTAAATTTTAAACAATTTAATTTTCTTTGAAAATATTTCTTCTAATTGTTTAATTTTCTTTGTAAATAAGATATTTGTAAATAGATAGCATGTTAAACTGTGAGGCCGGGGGTGATATCCCCCCGGCCACTGCAGGCCCGGCATCTTCGGGCAAACGGGCTAGAAAAATGGATTTTCAAGATGAAAATTCGAGCACATATAGCGGCGGCGGTGAGGAAAGTCAGAACTTTTTTCCATTTTTTAAACCAAACTATAAGAGACTCTATCCTGAAAATTCCTCAAACTATGAATTTAAAGTTTTTGTCGAAAGTGATAATAAAGAACGTTTGGGCAATAAGAGCCCTATTTATCTAAACCATATATTTAGTACAGACGTCAAAGGTGTGGTGGCCATTCATCGTGTGAATGCAAATAAAATTGCAGTCATATTTAAGCAATGTAACGCGGCTAACAACTTCCTTATGAACGCGGCTTTTCTAGACAAGTATAAAATGAAAGCATATATCCCGGCTGCCCAAATTGAAAAAACTGGAGTCATCAGACATGTTCCGGCCAATATATCGAATAAGGAACTTTATTACAAATTATCATCGACATTTGAAATTATAGCAGTGCGTAGATTCACGAAAAAAGTCGGTCAGGATAGGGTGCCTTTACAAACTGTTAGCATCACATTCTTAGCTAGTACATTACCTGACAATGTGCAGTATGACTTGTTTTCCTACAGAGTTTCTGAATACATCCCTCCTCTGCAGCAATGTTACCGTTGTTTTAAGTTCAATCATTCGGCAAAAGTTTGTAATGGCAAACAACGCTGTAGTCTTTGCTCCGGCGAACATTTTTATAAAGAATGCGACAAGCCTAATGAACTTTGTTGTGTTAACTGTAGTGGACCACACTTAGCAATATCAAATTTATGTCCTATTAAAATGAAAAAGAACCAAGAAAAAAAGAATAAAGTTACTTACGCCACTACTCTTACCACCTCAAAAGAAAAAACTTATGATGAGAATTTTCCAGCTCTACGAAATGCAAATAAAAATAATTATATTACTCAATCTCCGACTTTGATACCAAAGAGTACAAGTAATATTCTCAATGTAAAATCTGTCCCACAAAAAAAGTTTTCGTTAGATGAACTAAAGAATCAATTAATTAATAATACTGAAATCACAAATGCCATAGTTCGAACACTTGTTGCGATAGCTAATAAAGGGGACGATATTCCAATTACTTCATTGTCAATTAAAGAAATGTTAATTAAAAATTTAACTTAGCTATGGATAACTGTAACCCAAATGATATTTCCACATTAAGGATTGCCCAGTATAATATTCAAAGTATCTATAATAAAGTACCTCTTTTAATAAATTTTTTACGAGAAAATAATATAGACATCTGTCTATTAAATGAAACTTGGTTGAAAGAAGGTAGACCTTGTAATATACCTGGTTATAATATTTATTATAAAAATGCTTCAAACGAGCACGGTGGTGTAGCTATCTTAATAAAACCATTCTTTAAATATAAACTTTTACCCACAATTTTCTATGAAGACATTCAGACTATAGCTTTGTCTTTATCTACCTCGTCTGGCGATCTTACTATTTTGTGTATTTACTGTCCTCCTTCACCACATTTTAGACCTGACTATCTACATGACATTCTACAAAGTCTGCCTTCACCTGTTTTTGTGTCAGGAGATTTTAATGCTCATCATCTTGCTTTTGGTTGTTTATCGACTAAAAGGCGAGGAGAGCAATTGTACACTATTTTGGATGATTTAGATTTATGTATCCTTAATGATGGTAATTTCACTACTATTAACTACCCTAATCGAAATCCATCTGCTATAGATATTAGTTTAGCTAGTCCATGCATTACGCCTTTATGTAACTGGTCAGTCCATGATGATAATATGGGCAGCTATCATTTCCCTACAATTACAAGGATTACGACTGTGATAAATAAATATAATTTTAATCCACCCACTGATAAATTTCTTTATAGCAAAACTGATTGGAACAAGTATAATGAACTCTCTAAATTTTATTTTGATAATATTTACCCCAATCCTGATGACCCCCTTACTTCATATAATGAATTTTGTGAAAAACTTAATTTACTAAAATTGTCATGTGTACCAAAATTCACTAAAACGTCTGACTACAGAAGTAAGCTACCTGCTCCCTGGTGGAATGACAAATGCAAAGAAAGTGTAATGAAGTCAAAAGAGGCATTAAAGTTCTACAGGCGTTATCCAACTATTGCAAACTTTATAACATATAAAAAACTTGATGCAATTAAAAAAAGAACCATTAAAGAGGAAAAAAAGAATAGTTGGAGAAATTTGTGTCAGAGCTTTAATAGAACAACCCCTATTTCAACTATTTGGAATTATATTAAAAGATTTAAAAGAATTAAAACAAGTAACAAATATTATTGTGATGAGTTTATTGAATCATTTCTACAAAAAATCTCAGATAGCAATGAAAGTACAGAAAACTTGAATTATTACTTCGATCTTCACAATGATAAAAAAGAAACGAATCATTTATTAGACTCCTATTCATGGTGTGAATTTTCAATGAGTCTTCAATCACGCAAAAATACTGCTCCAGGTCTTGATGACTTTCCTTATATTTTAATAAAAAACCTTCACATTAATGTACAAAAATTATTTCTAGTTATACTCAATACACTCTGGAAAAAACAAATAATACCTAATTCATGGAAAACACAATGTGT